CACTTGACGGCTCTGGTGCTGTCCCACCAAAAAGAAATCTCTCTCTCTCCCTCTCCATTCTTCTATTTCTCTGCGAACAGCAGGGCCTTTGAACTATTTGTCATGGAGGTTTTTTTCTACACTTTTTTTGTTTTTGTCGCTGGTTGCAGTGGCCACAAAAATAGCCAGCGCCGCACACACACACAAATCTCATTTTGGGGAGTTGCCCCGCACGCCGAGTGCTCCATTTGCAGCATAGAAAAAAGCAACGTTAAAGGAGAGGCACCACCAATTAGTAAGAGTCGTATTACAGATACCCTAGGAATGCAACACATACTCATTGCACTCATGGAGAATACTTTTTTTTTGGTTACAGAAATCGTAGAAAGATAGATAGGCATCAGAAAAAGACTTGAAAAACTTAAACATATTTAATTTAAATTATTTTTTTAATTTATCGACACGAATGTTCCCGAATATTTCCTTTCTGGACAGGAATTCCACCCAAGCGGTACTTTTTTTTAAATTTTTCTTGGTTTATTTGTCGCTGGTTGCAATGGCCACAGAAATAGCCAGCGCACAAATATATTTTGTGGAAAGTAAAATAACGTTAAATCAGAGCCTGAACAATGCCGAGAGTCGTGCCACAGATACTCTATAAACAACTACACTACATATATGAAGTTAAAGGAAATGCATTGGAATTTCTAATTCTTTAATGTCCATTTCTTAACAATTTTCTTTCATCGGTAAAAAGAGAACATTGCAAATTGTTCGCTCAATAAAAGATATACAAGAACGAAAACCGAAAAACGTAAGTATTTTTAGGAGTCCCTGGGGCACCAGTCCCTGGACTGCGATCAAACGATTGCCTGGAAAAGTTCCAAAAAACGTTTTGTGTCGTAAAGGAGAGAAATATTTAATGCGGTCACTGGCTTTTTAACATGCCGAAAACTATTTTCAAATATGTCTATCCCATTTCGTTGCATATTCGTTTCCCATATTCATTTCGCTTTTTGGTCAGCATTCATTTCGGATGTTTTTTCTCTCTTTTGTTTGTTATTTTTATCGCCGGCTAGAGTGGAGTGTGCCCAGTTCTCTCATTGTGGAGCATCCTTCAGCAGCGTTTCTTATGTAAATTTTCTGTCGATTTTGGCTCTGTGTTTGCCATGGAGATGATGATGCTGATGACGATGATGATTATGTTGTTGGCTTTGGAGTACACACTCCTCGACGGGACGGCCTGGGGCTCCGCTGGAAACTAATAAAACGTCAAAGCAATTTTGACAACATGCAACTTGAAGATCTGTAAAAAAAATGTACCATCTTGAGTTGTAGAGCCGCCGCCTGCTTGCTCTGTCGGTTCGTCCCTCGTCCTCTAACGCAAAAGTTTGTCTGCAAGTTTTTTCCATCCTCCCAACTATTTTCTTTGGCAATGCTTTCATTTTGGCCAGGCCATATTTCTTTTCCTTGGGAAAGAGGAAAGAAAGAGATGTAAAAGGGCGGTCCTATGGTAGGGGGCGGCAACGGGCAATGTCTGGTCAGAGTTTAAGCCTGGCTTAAACCTATCCAACTGGCATATCAGCCATAAAACTAGACATTAAAACCGTGTGAAAATTGCCAACTCAAGTGTTAAGCTGCGAGAAAGAAAGATGGAAAATCAGACAGAGAAAGAGGAGCTACAAAATGGAAAGCGAGAGGGTAGAATTACAAGTGTTTATAAGAGTCATTTCATGAATTCCTGCATATGTATAAAAAAGACGAGTGGCAAGAAATGTCTTTGTGCCTCAAAATTTCGGTAGAAAGTTTAGTTCTTGGCTCTTCATGAGCCTTTGTGAATTGTGACATGTATTTATTGGCAATTTTCAGATGCTTTGTTGTTATAAATTTATAAAACTTCATATTAATCTCTTGATCGATATGCATGATATGATTTTGCAGAATTTTCCTCGTGTAAACAGACTAATAGAAGCGTAAAACGTAGAGTGAAAGAGCAGTGTTGGAGCGAGTGACACTGCGACTCTATGCCAGAGTTGAGTAGGTGTTTTGGGTGATAAGCAGCGCCTCTGTGTTTATAGAGTTGTCAAGTACTCATAAAATATGTTGTCTACCTGTTTAGGCGGCGTTCCGACACGCCCATTTCTGTCAAACATGGGTTAAGTGCGGTGTCATTAGACACCAGACCCAGACTCGTGCACCCACACTCCGGGACACACTCGAAAATTCAAGTGAAGTTGGAATCACCTCCGAGAGTGGTACATGCCGCTACAATCGGTTTCAAGGTTGTGCGACAGACGACAATCGTTTTATGGCCTGCCCTAAGCGCCATTTCAGCACTTCTCACCGTCCTCATCATTCCATTCCTTCACAATTTCCCATAATTCCAGGATGACGCAGCCTTGCAGCCATGTGTCCCTGGCGCTGGGCTTGTTTGCGTGTATCTGGCACATTAAATGGCTGCTGCCCCTGCTGCTGTTAATAAAATTATGAAATGTATTTGATGTGACACCCACACCCCTCACAAAAATGATTCCCAAAATATTATCTTTTGCCCTTATTTTTTTCTGCGGCCACTTGCAAATTTGTGTCTCAATTCAATTATTTTTTGGGGTTCCGTTGGAAGGTTGAGTATTCGGTAAGTGCCTCGCCCCAAAGTGGCAGCACCGGTAGGCATTTCTGGCCGCAGGACCAGGACACAGAACCTGCTGTGTTGTTAAATTTTAATACTGCGGTTTATGTGCGATATCTTGGGGGGCTGGGTTGGGTAAATGAAATTTTAATTGCCATGCGGTTCACTTAAATTGCCAGTGAGTGAGTATTCCTTTTACTCTGTTGTAAATTCTGGAAAGTACAACACGAAAATTCAACCGAAACTTGTGCCAAATGCTTGACAAAAGTGCAACGAACCGTGACTGAAGTCAGGCACAGAAAAAAATGTGCTGGAAAAATTGCAGCAACCGCGCAACAAATTATGAAAAATACCCGTACACTTCGCGTACCATCGTGTGGCAAACAGAGAAGCAATATGCGCCTCGGTCTGGACCGCAAATGCAAATTTATGAAAAGACCAAAGCAGCGAGAATTAGGACCAGGGGCCAACATCAGCTGTCGGCAGTGCTCTTGAGCTTGAAAAAAATGGGAATGCAGACACAGAGGGAAAGGAATAGACACTGAATGGAAACGGAGCTGGTGCTGGTGCTGTATCTGTATCTGGAGCGGGGAGTCGGAGTCAAGGTGGGTACTGCCGCGTCAGACAGTCAGACGGTAGCGGGGGGCACTGGAAACCGGCTGATGGACAGACAGACACAAACGGTTGAGTAGAGCCCCCGGTTAAGTACGAGTAGTAGTGTGTCTGGCTCTGGGTCTAACAATTACGTGAATAGCGCAAAATGTCGAAAAATGTAACAAGCGAACCCGTTAAAACACACAGAATGCCATCACAATTTATGGCAGAAGAGAGTCATCATCAGAATCTTTGTCATAACATTGGAGATACACTCCAGCAGTTTCAGGGTAATATTTCTGCACTCATTGTGTTGGATTTTAATGAAAGTATCTACAAAGTGAGATGCTCAGAAAAAGAGTCCAATGGGATGCGCAAAGTAGTTTTCTTTGAGGCAAAAGTAAGGCAGAAATAGTCTTTGAAATTGATAATAAAAGTACACAAACAATTTTTTTTTATTTAACTGGAAAGTTAAAAAGAAATATAAATTTTTCTTTGAGATCATTTTATAAACAACAAGCACTATTCTATACATATTTTATCGTCTTACCATCTTCATCGCCTTAGCTTACCGCATGACGAAAGGGCAGACATTTATCCTTTTGTTTTACTTTTCTACATGGATCCCGAATTTATGCAAATATGCAAGCATTTCGTATCTTTTATCCTCCCTTCTAAATAAGTGCCTTCTCTTGGGTTTGAAAAAGGGTATAAAGTCTTCATCAAAGACTGCTGCTCTTGCTATATTTTCTCTTTTGGATTTCCCCATCTGATTCATTGCGAGTTCTAGTGAAACGTTAGTGAGGATTGTTTTCGCTGTTTGTTGTTGTTGATAGCAACCAGAATTGTGGCAGACGATGCGTCTCGTCTGCCGACTGTTGCCTTTTGGCGCTTGCCACTGCCACAGCTATTCCTCTCGCCCTTCCCCCTCTCTTTCTCTCTGATTAACTCATTCATACATTCAGGCTTTTCCTGAAAAAAATAGAGTGTGGGCACCGTTGGGGCATTGTTGAAGGGTCCTGCTGCTTCTACTCTTGCTCTCCTCAGCAGCCCTTTATTATGATTATTTTTCATTTCAAAAAGTTGGCGGCTCAGAAAAAACGGCCGCAATCCAGAGGAGAACTTTGTTGTAGTTGGCTGAAAATATTTAAAGTGCGGCCGACTCACACAGACACACATCCACCCACATGTTTAAGCACATACGCTCTCATACATATTCATGAATTGCCTCTGCAATTGGTGAGTAGTATACGGTGTACCCGTGTACATGGGGTAGTATGAGTTTCAGAAAATGTTAGAAAAAGCAAGGAAGGAAGTCAGGCACTGAGACGATAGACGACAAAAATCAAATTTAAAATTTAGTCACAATTTTCAGAATAAATCTCAGACTACATTTTTCAACAACTTAAAATGGGAGAAAAAGAGACAAAGCATAAAGCATCATCGTTGTCTCATCACCAGGGTATCTCTACATTCGAATCCCAAGGAAAGACGTGCTTTCCTTTTTATGCCGTTTGTTGTTGCTTGTTCTTTAGCTCTTTTAACTTTTGAGCAGCGGCCGCAGCAAGCGCAGCAGCAGCAGATGCGGAGGCAGCAGCCGGCATGCCGGTTTTTCTTTCAGCTGCAACTTTAATTGGAGATCGCCGAATGCAGCCGCCGCTGCCACTGGCTGGCGTTGGCAAACGTGTTTATACATTTTTTTTTTTGGCAAATTTGGCATTCGTTTCCTACACGACTTTTAAGCGAGGGAGGTCAAACTGTCGTTTTGTTAGGTGTCGTACTAACTGTTTTAACTTACCTCTGGTGCAATCAGTTCATGGCGACAGCGAAGGCGACCTCGGATTATCAGTGGGCTGATGAGGAGCGGGTGGTGGCTGCTGCTCCTGTTGTTTTCGTTGTTGTTGCTGCCACCGCTTAAGAGGACATCCCCCTTTTTGACTAAGTTGCACAAAAGTCACCCGCTTGTGGCAAAAGCGAAAGAAATTAAACGATAATTTGTTGTAAGGGGCGCCCTCACACACACACGCACACAAAGACGAAACACTCTCGCACACCACACCGCGACAGGCGAGCGAGCGAGCGAGCAAACACAGCACACACTCCCTCTTTTTCTCTCGTTTTGTTTGTTCTGCTTTTGCTTTGCTTTTACTCTGCGTTGCACTCGCCGCAACGTTGCAACATCATCCACATATTACACTTGTGATGTTGCTGTTGGATTTCTTATATCGAATGCACTTTCGCTGCAGTTTTTGTTGTTGTTGTAATCCTCTTGTAGCAGTTGCGGCTTCGCTTCCCCTCCCACCAACGACTCTTATTATTCTCCTTTTTCAGCTGCTACCACTGCTTTGACGACTTCTTTTTTCATTTGCTTCACACAGCCATCCTGCGTGGGCAAAGGATATTTTTCTTTCTTTGCTTTGCCTTGGCGTGGCTTGGCGTCGCGCTGTCGCCGCCTGGTTTGTGTTGTACGTTTAAAATCTCGCACATTTAATTACAGACTCGACAATGGCACACGGAGCACGACCACGACATTTGAAAGCACAATTGTTTCGACAATTTTGCTACATTTTTAATTTAAAATTTTTGCGAGACGCGACCCGTTCATTTCGATTTTTTTTTTTGTTTTGGTATTTAATCGCTACAGCCAATTGGGGATGGTCGCACGACGATAAGTCCGCATTGACCAGATACTCAGTGATGTCAATTCAGCTCTTATTCAACTAGAAATAGCGGTTTTCAAATAAGGTGTAAAGAGTGCAAAAATATACAATTTACATTTAAAAATTATACTATATTCTATATTCCTCGATTTTTATGTTTTATTTGTTATTACTAGCTTGCGAAGACCTTTGAAACTAAAACAATAATTTAATACGATTCAAGAATCAATTTGGCTTATTATAAATATTCATTTTTATTGTATACCTTATAACCTTATATTTTACAAATGTGTATTTGAATTTGTAATTCAAATAACCCCCTCTGGAAGCTAGAGAGTTTTTTCTTCAGTATGTAAATGTGTGTAAATTATTAAAAGCGACACATGTGTGTATGTATATTAACTGATAACATTGAAAATTATTTAAGAATAGACCGGAACACCTGTGAATAAAAGGTCAGGTAAATCCTCTCCTGTGTCTAAACGATCAGTGAAGATAACTGTTTACAAATATTTGATTAATTATTTTAATATAAAACATTCGATATTTACTGTATCAACGTCAAATCTGTATGTAGAAGTCGAGATTTGACAATCGTTTCGGATATGGCGGGTAATATCTTTCTAGCCGAGACTGCAACCGATAAAAAGTGACGAAATCTCCCATCTCAAATTATGTTAGGAGAGTGTGACCATTTATAGCATGTAAGAAATACTGAAAATACCAAAGACAGTTTAAGAAAATGGGCGCGAAGGTTTGAGTTTGTGTAAACATGTGAAACCGAAGAAACAAATTAAACTCTTCCCAAAACGTACAACCGTCGCTTAGTTGAGTTCCCAGGCCAGGTAGGCTAATACAAAATAAAGAAATCACACTAAAGTGTCACACCTGGACAAGTCGATGACCCGAATATACGGAACTATTACTAAACAAAAGCAAAGCTTACTTTGACACTCTTCATCAGCGGGCCATGCGCCATTCACAAGTCGTGTTATCCATCGGAAACTTGTCATATTGAATGAAGCTACACATCTAGCTTGGAGCTTTCAAATAAAATTAGGTCTCAGCAATGTGCTAACTGTAAGTCAATTCAATATATAATTCAATTGGTATAACGAAGGGAATCGTACGAGTAAGAGATAATTATTTTCTTTAATCGAGCAGCTCATCAATCAATCATTGTAGGTTGGCAGTGGGTCCGACAAGTTCATTAGAAATAACAGTGCAAGGTTTATGAATAAGATGCTCTTCTGCAGAATAACCACCAGTCAGCAGGCATCAGGCAGCAGGCAGCAGGCAGCGGGCTCGGCTCTGATTGATAACTTTTACCCATCGCGATATCAATAATGACGCGTGGGCGGGGTGTGGGTTGATAAGACCATTGATGAGTATTTAATTTCGTGTGTTAATTGCTAATATGTACTCAATTAAGTTGTGAGTTGAGAGATTCAAGAAATCGGGAGCCCCAAGATATCAAGCAGGTGAAGCAGAGTCTAAGAGTCAAAGGTATGGGTATGGGTATGGGTTGCCAACAGAGATACATAAATATGAATGTACTTCAGTACATACTCGAGAACACACGACTCGCACGCTCCGTCTATCAGTAAATGTGTTAAAGTTAAACGTTTTAGAATGGCAGGGGTGTAGAATATTTAGTAGGCCATCGAGTTTCTTGCACTGCACAACATGGGCCCTCCGTCCCTCCGTCCAATACACAAATGGATCGTATTCTGTTGTCTGTTTGTGATTTGTGTTGTGTTTTTGCCACAACAGCGTACCAACGATGCGCCATCACCGAAATTTAAAGCTCTTCTACCGGTGACAACGACCCTGGATGACTCCGAAGATCCAAATGATTCGTTTCCGTATTCCAGCATTCGAGTCCAGGATGCGACTGCGTTGCCTTTGTACTTTGTGGAGAGTTCCCAGTGCAAGATCCCATATGTGGATCCCTTTGGGGCAGACACAGTGGCCGTGTACAAGCGAATGGTGTACGAGCCGTGCTCCAACGACACCGCCCTCGTCACACCCATCTACGATGTGGGCAGGCAGCGCTATGTGCTGCACATCAATGAGACTTTGGCCACCCGTCTGCTACAATCGCGTGAGATTGAGTACAATTGCTACTACCAGGAGATAAAACGCAGTCCGTCCGATGGCTATGACAGGTACAGCAAGTGCATGGATATTTAATTTGCCTTGGAATTCACTTAGTCTTGTCTTTAGCGTGGATCGCAAGTACTTCTCCCAGGACTATGTGGTTCCGCTGCATGTTGAGGCGCTGATATTGGGCTGCCATCGGATAGACAACACGTCGCACATCCTCCAGAGCGATGCCTACACGCTCGTCCAGTTCAAAGCCCCACAGCCAGGACTCTCCCTGGAGCCATCGAAGCGAAAGCCGTCCTTGCTCATGTTCGGCATTGACAGTCTCTCGAGAATCAATCTGAGGCGCACCATGCCAAAAGTCTACAAATTTCTCACAGGCAGGGGCTGGTACGAGCTTCAGGGATACAACAAGGTGAGTTATTAAGGATCCAGAGAACAAAAAACATTAACTAATTGGCTCTACCCTTGCCCAGATTGGCGACAACACATTTCCCAATCTGATGGCTATTCTGGCCGGCTACAGTCCAGAGTCTGCCAAGGAGCAAGTCTGCGATTGGAAGACTAATGGCTGCCTGGATGAGACTCCCTTTATCTGGAAGTATTTCAAGAACGCCAGCTACCTGACGGCATATGCCGAGGACGAGTCTGGCATAAACACTTTTAACTACGTAAAGCCTGGCTTCAACGAGCAGCCGACAGACTACTACCTCAGGCCTCTGCAGAAGGCAGCCGAGTCGGATCTGGACACCTGGAAGTGTGCCGATTGCTCGATGAGATATTGCATTGGTCGCCGGGAGACGAGCAGCTATGCCTACGATCTGTGCAAGGAGTTTGCCAGGCGATATGTGGTCGAGCAACCCATTTGGGGCCTGTTCTGGTCGAACAGCTTCAGCCATGATGACTACCGAATGCCATCGAAGATGGAGGACTACGTCCTGCAGTACATGCTGGACCTCAAATCAGACGGCGTTCTCGAGCAGAGCATTGTGATATTTCTCTCCGATCACGGTTCTCGCTACGGGGAAATAATGTACTTTGAAAGTGGCTTCCTGGAGTCGCGTCTTCCCTCGATGTTCATCTACCTGCCGCCCTGGTTCCGGGCCCAATATCCGGAGTATGCACGTGCCCTAGAACTGAATCAGCATCGGCTGACCTCCAACTATGATCTGCACAACACCCTGAAGCACATCATCGAGCTGGGCAGCCCCGATGGTCACCCGCTGCCCAAGTCCTACGATTGCCCCAAGTGCCACTCGGTGTTCTATCCAATGGATGAACAGCGGACATGCGAGGATGCTGGCATACCGGAGCACTATTGCACCTGTGTGCCCTACAAGCGACTCTCCGGCGACTGGCCACGTCGCATAGCTCCGCGGGTCATTGAACGTATCAACGAATACCTGAGCGGCAGAAATCTCAGTTCCATTTGTGCCAATCTATCACTTTCCTATATACACGAAACGGAAATTAGGGTCGCACTCGATCAGAACTTCCACGATTTACAGTCCACTTCGGACACTGCCGTATATCGCACAATGTTTAAGGTGAAACAAAACAGTGCCGACTTCCGAGCCACAGTTGTCTTTAACAACATTACAGAAGCTGTGGACGTTAATGTGACATCTATCAGTCGTCTCGATTCCTATGAAAACGATGCAACCTGCATTGCCGATAAAACAGACAAATTGTATTGCATTTGTCTGAGCAATCTCAAAGAGTAGCCCAGAGTTCCATAAGTACAATGCCCGTGGTTGTCTTTCGGGGCGCTAAGAATAGGTTCAATTAACTAATTGAAAATTGCAATTTAACTCAAGTTATTATGACTGGATCGACCGGAACCGACGTACAACATACAGACATACAAACATATCTTGTTCATGATTCTGATGAAACGTCTTGACGAACCATGGACTTTCTAGACAAAACAAACTGAAACTTAATTGACATTAAATAATGGAATCGGAAAAACATTTATTAGAGTTTAACAAATTCCCATCAAACGTGGCAGATTAGTGATGATAAAATGATGAATGCGATCCATATCGCAGCAGAATGTGTAACCATGTTCCCCCGTCACATTCAGACGAAAATCGCTTGGGCATCGGACAGGGATACAGGGAGTGGCGTCGTTCGCACGTTGGCCCATCCGTTGTTGTAGGTCAGGAAAACAAAGTGTGCGCCTGATATGTGGCTCACAATTTTGTACATCCATTTGGGAATAGGATTCCTGTTGGGGGCCAATAGGGAAATATCTTTCCAATTCCCTCTGGTATCGCTCAGCTGGAGCACATGCAGTGCACCGGTGCAGACTTTTAGAACATCGAATGTTCCGTATGTAAGCTGTCGACGCACCCAGTTCTCAATGATTTTCCAGTTACCGTTATTAATCGTCAATATTGCTGGTCAATCGAATATCTTTTACAAAAACAAAGTCACCAACGGGCGCCAAATGGCCGCGAGCAAAGATCAACTCATTTTGTGGCATATACGTTTGCTGGGTGCCAAAGATATCCATGAACCTCTTATAGATAATTTTGTTATGAAAGCTGACGGCATCTGCGGCGGGCAATATGCGGTCAGAGGAAAAACCTTGATTCGGACGAGGCACGACTAGATGGGAAGAGCACAGCAAATTCATTATAAATAACACTACTCGAGACGATCCTTGGTTCCGTGAATGGAAAAATGCGCCGTCATAGTATCTACGTCGTAACAGCTTCTGTAGACCTCAAAAAAATCCGACGGATGCTGGGAATTGTAGCCTACACGGTACATTTTGTGGGGGCAACTGGGATCGGGGATCTCTTCCACAACTGCTTTCAGTGGGTTGGGGCATAGGGTGGTGGGTAGAACTGGCCGAAAGATTCCGTTTGGCTGGCAAATGGAAACTTTGTTCATTTTGCCAGTGCTGAGCCAATACACACGTGTATACGGTGCAACCACATCCGTACGCAGGGGGTAGTATACGTGATTCTCACAATAGACGAAAACCCATTTGGTGTCCGTATTAGTCAGGCTCAACGCGCAATCACCCAGAACAGTTTCGACATCTATAAAGGCACCGAAAATGGATCAAGATCCCATTAAATATGATTACGAAACGTTGAAGCTTACAGAGCAATAGACTTAGAATAAGGAGAGACAGACACCGTCGTCGGTTCATATTTTAAGTTTGAGCACCGAAATGAAACTAATAATCGCTTAAAAAATAAGATTTGTGTTATCAGCGGATCTTATAATAGTACACTGCGTGAAAAAGATCAACGTACGTAAGGGTATAATTCTATAAGTCTACGCATTGAACACTGTATTTTGCCACCAAATACTTTCGCAGCTTTTTAGCCATGTTCCAAACTTGGTTTACAAACCAAACTTCAAAGCTTTCACAGGTTCAGCAAACTCCCGTTAAATGTGGGAGGTTTCTAGCTATAAAATCGTAAGGGTCGCAGCAGAAAGTGTATCCTGCGGTGCCCTCGTTCCGTACACTTAGACCCAAGTTTTGGCACGGAACTTCTAGGCAAACGCTGGATACGACCTGCCCCATCGGCCGTGTGGTTGCATGTGCGTTGTTGTAGGTGAGGAACACAAAGTGTGCGCCCGATATGTGGCTTACAATTTTGTATATCCATTTGGGAACGGGATTCCTGTTTGGGTTGTCCAACAGAAACATTTGAATGTTTCCCGCGGACAGTTCGAGCACTCCGAAGACACCAGTGCAGACTTTTAGGACATCGAAGTGTCCTTCAGACAGCTGTCGCCGCACCCAGTTCTCGATGGTTTTCCAGTTGCCGCGATTGATTGTACTAAACTGTGGTATCAAGTTGATGTATTTGTTTGTCTGTCCTCTGCTCTCCTTGAAGGCAAAGTCAAGCGATGGTGTGAGATGGCCACGATCGTACATATTTGCGCCTTTTGTAAAATAAGTCTGGGCGGATGTCAAGAGTCGCTTGTATCTTTCATAGATCTTGGGATTCAGAAACGAGCTCGCAGCTGCTCCAGAGATGATGCGATCAGTTGTGAAATGTATCTGACGATCCACATCTAAAAAGAGACAAAGATTTGTTTGTATTATTTGATGGACTTGGACTGGAATACAACAAACTTACCCGAGGTGCTTGTGTGGGCCATGTAAATCGTAAAGAGCGCTTTAACATTCGCTCGATCATAGCAACTTCTGTAGATCTCTAGAAACGCTACATTTCTGACATTATAGCCCACACGATACATGGTGTAGGAGCAACTAGTATCGGCGATTGCCTCCACTACTGGGCTTACAGATTGACTACAACCAGCTGTGGCCAGTGGTGGGTTGAAGCTGTTTGCAGTGCATGTGGAGAGTATTATGTCAGCTGCATGGCAAATCGAATATACTCTAGCATTGTTGGGAACTAAGCCCTTGCGTAGCAGCTGATAGCTCGAACCATCGTGTGTGGCGAAAACCCGACTCGTCTGTGTTAATTCATGTTCATTTAGCGCGCAATCAGCCTGAGCGTTTCCGAGTACTACAAAAATAATCACCCTTTAACAACAAATATAAATTATACTATAACTTACAAAATAGCAAACTGAGTAATGCACAGAGGCACCGCACATTGTTCATCTTCACAGCTTGAGCTTAGAGCTATAACTGATGATCGTTTGGGAGCTTGTCCAGACTCTAGACTCTCTTTGGGAATTTCCTTATCGCCGGGAGGTCTCTCTTTTGCGATTATTTGTTTGTTTAATTTCAAGAATGGAGCTGCTGATAACCCTCGCTTCGCGGAAAGCCACAAATGAGTAATTGCATTGACATTTAACTGGGAAATTCTGTAGGCACTTGTCATTCTTATCGCTTGAGAGATGATGTAGTAGATTTATGGCCAGCCTTCTCCCTATTAAATCTTGTATTCTGTTGCATTTACCTTTTGCTTTCCAGAATCCAACAGATGACAACGTGCGTGTTGCGGCAGCTCAGCAACTTGCAACTTTCAACGCCCGCTCCGCACCATTTCTCAGGTCATCGCTGATAGCAGTGCCCATGCGGTTCAAGACAGTCCTTGCCCCGGGCCCCTGGGCTCTTGCTACACTCTTTTATCTACGGTTACTATCAGACATCGCCAAGTGGTTTTGCGGCTGTGGTGTTTACTTTGCCGGGGCACGTATAATAACAAAGGGCTTGTCTTTTCATTCTTTTCAAGCTGCATCGCATCCAATGAACTTTATGTGGCTTGCATTTTGTCATCAGCACTCATAAAAACCTATCTAAAATTAAATCTAAGGTGCAGCAGCAAAAATCAAATAAAAAGTCGCACTTGAAACCACTCGTCTACTCGTCCAAACATTCATTAGTAGTGTCACCGGGACGGATTGCAGCAGACGGGCTGCAGTCAGTTGGGGGGGAATCTTTGGTGGTCTTGTTGCCTCTTCCAAGCTGTTGTCGTATGTGAGGCAGACATACTACAGGGAATTATTGACGGCAACGCAAGCCATCTTGTACATTTAAATTGGCAAGGGAAAGTTTTTTTGCGGCTCCAGGAAAACCTTTACCACACTTTTGGTTGCTTTAATGAAATATATTTTATTTGGGGTATTTAAGCGTAACCAAAGTTACTACTTGCATTCAAAATAAGTTGAATATCAGAGACTAAAAGTGGTGGCATTGCAGCAGTAGGTGAAGCCAGCGACTGCCGTGTTGACCAGCGCCATGGGGCAGGGTACGCTGGTGCAGAATCGTGGGGCAGTGGGACGGCGTGGGGCGTAGATGTTGTTGTACGTAAGGAAGACGGCAAGCGGCCGATTTCTTGAAGTTCGCACCACCTTGAACATCCATTCGGGCACGGGGTTCTTGGTGCCAGTTCCCAGGATTACGCGATGACGAACGGGGGGCCGTTGACGAGTGGGCAGAATGAGATTGCCAACAGCACCCGTCTTGATCCTCAGCGAACCACCTAGTCGGATGCGATTGCGCACCCAGCGCTCGATTGTCTCCCAGTTCCTGTCGTTGATGCTCTTAAACTGCGGCACAACATTGACGTACTTGAAGGTTGCACACATTTGGTCGCCGAAGAGAAAGTCCGCCGAGGGAGTCAGGTGTCCGCGATTGATGACAACATTACGATTATTGGGAATGTATCTCTGGGTGTTGCCGAAGATGCGCCTGAAGGCATCGTAGATACTGCGAACGGTGAAGGTCCTGGCATCTGCCTCACTCAGAGCGCCATCTCGACTGAAAGCCACACAGGGACGCGCTGGGACTGTTAGGGGAACACAGAAAATCCTGTAAAGTAATGGAAGCCAGGAAAGATCACTGGGTACTCACAGAAGGTTTTGCCGTACACCGTGTGTGTCGTGAAGATGGCCTTTACATTGGCCCGATCGTAGCAGGCGCGATACAGTTCCAGCCTTCGGTTGTTGATCGTGTAGCCAATGGAGTACATGGTGGCCCGACAGGATGTATCGGTGACGATTGTCGCAGTGGCGGCCATCGGGTTATTGCATCGCAGCGGCAGCGGTCGGGTGAAGTTGGTGTTCCGCTGGCAGGTGGTCTGGACGATGTCGTTCGGCTGGCAAATCATGTGGAGCACCTCTCCAGTTTGCACTCGCTGAACACGCTTCAGGGCGTAGTTACCGCGGCGATCGCGGTTGGCAAATATGCGATTGGTGCCCTCAATCATGGCCCGCGACAATGGGCAGTCGGCCTTCGCTTGAAGGACTACCACATGACAGGGAAATGATGTATGAAGTTGAGAAGTTTCTTCCATTTTTCCACTCACCCAATCCCAGTCCGATGGCGATGAACAGCAGCAGATATCGGAACACCTGTTGGGCTTCCATGGTGATTATGGATCTGCAGGCTTTGCCGCTGTCATTTATACGACTGTCAGTGCCATCGGGCGTTTTCCCAGTCCATTGTTAGCGGGCCACGCGCTTTGGCACGTGTCTGCATTCAGGCTCAGAAGCCGAAACAACAGGCTATTTTTGGCAACACATTCTGAGCACTTGCATGGGGGGAGGTAGGCCTAGAGTGCTGAAGCAGCGTTTTATTATTATTTTTCATTGTGCCCCGCACTTGATGTGAGGCTAGCCAGGCCAGGCTAGCCCTAAAAATATTTCACACTCGGATATGCACAGTAATTTGTACTTCCATTTTCCGGCACTGACATTGGCAACATTGCCTTGTCTTCTCTTTCTGGGTCAACATGAAAGTGTGTGCACTTCCTTTAAGGCTATGCTTTCCCTTTACTACAGTCCCCTGATGGTGCAGCCAAATGAAATTTTATTTTTCCGAATATTTAGCCAAAACGATTTACTATGTATTTCGCTGCATTCTGTGCTCTCACATGCATATGCAAGCTGGAAAGCATACTTTGTTTGGCACAGTTGAATGCGTTGCAGGCTGTAGTCCAAGTGGAATTCAGCATTCAGTTGTAGACAAAATAAAAGGTTATTTCTAAACTGATCCTGAAATTACATTGGGTAACATGCAACCAAATAAATATGCAAGTCCCAGAGCTAGAATTACTTGCCTGCATTTGAAGTGCAATGTACAGTGACAAAGATGCAAAATATTGTACTAAGGCTTTGGCTAACGAATGCGAAAGATTTCCCATATACATATGTACATCCCGAGTTTCAGGACATATTTACTCGATGTATTACTGCACTTAATGGGCATGTACATTCTCAAAGCACTCCTAGACCTTACTCAAATTCACTGCGATTTACCTGTTCTAGTTCACATAATGACACACTAATGCCAAAATCAGAATCACAATAAGAGACAGTGACAGAGCCAGATAGTCTCTGAATGATTTGCCTTCTAATGTTGGCCATTGTCATTGTCTGGCCATTGTGCGAGTATTTGTCGTTGGATCTAAGTGGCCATGTCTTTTAATGTGCATTTTGTGAAATGTTTAATGCGCGGCAAAGTATTCTAGGCTTTTGTCTGCCATCCGCTGGTAAGCGGGTCCTGAACAGGACTGCATGGAGGCGTAACGCAATTTCCGCAACTTACGAGCAATTTGGCGCTATTTGGGCACTTTTAATGTATGCTCACAGAAGCGAACCAAATTATGCCATATAAAATTTGAGACTCGAATTGTATGGTGTGGTGTGGTGTGGTGTGGTGTGGTGTGGCGTGGTGTGTGGCATGCTTCTATGTACGGATTGTAATGGTCAATAAAAATAAAAGGGGCAAAGCGGCGAAATCAACAAGCCGACCACAAACCGAAACATAAATTAAATTGTGCCGCACTGCAGACGGGTGATGGTGGACTTTCCGATGGTATAGACTCATAGATAGGGACTTGTGAATGGTGGCTGGGATGGGAGAGATGGGTGGCAAGTTCCGGGGAAGCATTTACAATTCCATTGAGTTGCGTGTTTACAGCACAATTACAACTGTTAGATTTTATGAGAGCCCAGCTCATGTCCGGGCTGCTACATTTATTCTGCACTTTTATGAGCTCCCAGTGGCCTCCACACTCCCAACCCCTTTACCGGCATCGACTTCCTTGGGTATTCCATCAGGTCCACACGCACAAAACAATTTCGCAGGCGTCCGTATTTAAAAGCAGCGCAGCCGCTGCCAAGCTGAATAATTTATTTAATGTCTACTTTTAGGCGCAGGCCACAACACGGCCAGAAGCAAACCTGCCATGGACTCGGGGCTTTATTGCACTCGCACGCATTAAAAAGTGCCACACCCCCACAGCTCTCACCACCCTCACAATCGCAGCTTGAATTTAAATGGCCCAAAAGCGAGAGACGGCGCGGCGGCTGGATTTTGCTGTGGGTGAGTTGTCGGGAATGGAATTTATGAGAACCCACCGAATGACCATTAAAACTGGCAGCAAGAGTCAATTTTGAATGAGGCATGAATCCAAAGCGTTTAGTTGCTTTTTAAATTGCCATACGAAACTTTACGATTTATGAAAATTGATTTTCGGCAGTCAGACATAACAATGTTTTAATTTAATTGGAATTAAATTTTATTAATTGTCGCAATGCAATGCCGAAGCGAATAAACAAATGAAATGTACTGGAAGTGATAGAAATAAGTCCGAAAAATATGGTATATCAATCAAAACTAAATTTGTATCTCTAAATTATATTTTAGGCAGATACATTTTAGTTTTGAGTTGTCCATCAATTGGGTGGATTAAAGGTGGCGGGGTTGCAACAAAAGGTGAAGCCATCAGCAGCCGCGCCTGCCAATTGTATGGGACAATTGACGGCCTGACAGAAGGCCGGCGGTGCGGGACGCTGGCGGGCAAAGATGTTGTTGAGGGTGAGGAATGCCACTAGGGGACGATTGTTTGAGTCGCGAACAATCTTGTACATCCAGAGGGGCACCGGATTGCGATTGCCGCTCAGGAAGACTTGCCTTTGCCCGTTGGCAGCGGGCAGCGAGAGGATACCGCTGGCACCTGTGCGCACATTAACGAATCGATTGCCCCGCACTGAGTTACGCACCCAACGCTCGATGGCCTCCCAGTTGCGATCGTTGATGCTCTTAAATTGCGGCACAACATTCACGTACTTGAAGGTGGCGCACATCTGATCACCGAAGAGGAAGTCGGCCGAGGCGGCTAGGTGGCCACGATTGATGATCACATCCCGATTGTTGGGCACATAGTTCTGATTGTTGCCGAACAGGCGGCGGAAGGTGGCATGAATGTTGCGCGTCAAGTAACTGGCCTCGTCCGCCCCCGAGATGACGCCGTCGGAGGTGAATCGCACACAAGGGCGTGTGGCATCTGTAGGATTAATATCGAGTAGGTCAATCCAGGTTCTGGTTAATTATTTGACTACTCACAGAAAGGCTTGGCATAAACCTGATGCTCGATCCAATGAGCTCGCACGGCCCGCCTGTCGAAGCAGCCACGATAGAGCTCCAGGAATTGTCCCCTGCCAATGTTGTAGCCGACGCGGAGCATGGTGGCCCTGCAGCGTCGATCTGACACTGGTATTGTGACTGCCACAGGCGGAGTCTGGCATGTCATCGGTAATGGAGGCACAAATGATGGCCTCTGGCCGCGCTGGCAGGTGACCGGGCGAACGTCCCGCGGGTTGCACCACAGCTGGAGCGACTCTCCCACAGCGGAACTGGCCGTCCGCTTCAGCATCATCTGCCGATTGCGAAGACGCACCATCACAATTCGAGTCGTTCCCTCGACCATGGGCCTCGTAAAGGGACATTGACTCTGTGCTATGTGTGTGACAGAAACCCTATCAATGTTGCACTCATATTGGTTTGTAAATATTTGAGGGCTTACCCAAGGCACAGAGTGCCAGTAATGGTAGCAGTCGTCTCAGCATGTCCAAAAACTCTCAGCGTGACTGCAAGCCCTATGGTTTGGCGTTTATTTATAGCAATATCGGCTCTAGGCTGTGGCGATACTCCGTTGCAGAACAATTTGCACAGCTGTTTGCCCCACTAAAGGAAGCTCTTTTGTTGTTTTGTTGCAACTTTTCAATGGTTTGCCATATGAAGCTTTACTTGCTGGCACGTGCGACCCACAAGCCTTTAAAGACTGCAGGCTGAAATAAAGATTACACAGAAAATGGACTCTAATGAACTTTCATTCAATGTTCTGGCTGAATGCAACTTGCTTAACAACTCAATTTTGGTTTAATTACATTCAGTTTCAGTGCAGGAAAATCCTCCCCTCAAAACATACTGTAGCTCCTCATGTGGGATAATATCAACTTTTGTGCAGCTGTTGCAGTGTATCCGCATTTGCAGAGCAAATGAAATTAGTTATTGGCCCGATGCCACAGACCGACCCAGTCGAATCACTTTCCATTTGCCATTTGCCGTTTGCCATTTACCCTGTGCCCCATGATTTCATTATCATTGTTTGCTCCTCAAATACCATTAGTTCGGGTTTCGGTTTGGTTTTAGCATTGATTTTGGTCATGTTGCGGCTTCTGTTGGTTGTGTGTGCTGCCTGCCCCGAGTCGATTACAGGCGTGTGAGGTGAGTTTTTGGCAGGGGAAAGATGCAACGAAAAGTGTGCCATAGATCCGTACGATATTCCAGTGTGCTGCATTGTGCTGTCGTCGAATATTTCATAAATTTATATTTGCCTGCTAAATCCCTTAACGACTGTAAGCGTTTTCCCGTTTGTGTGCCATACAAAATGGCGGCACAACTAATACATGCGCATACATAACACCGACTTAGGGCTCAAGTCTCAAGGCTGAAGGCGAAACGTGCAAACTTTGCATGTGAGTAAGTCCCGACCCAAACTCCGGTATCCTGTTCTCAATATCGGAATCTGTGTGTGAGCGAGTGCGGTGGACGGTGAAAGTAAAGGCAAAGACGTTTGACTTTTACGCGCAATTGAGCTTGAGAACTCGGTATCCGGAATAGTTGAGGCAGCTGGAAGAGCTGGAGTAGCTCTTAGCTGCAGACCTAGGACTGCCATATACGGCCCACTCAAGCCGCCACTGCCGCAGCCACTGCCATTGCTGTTGCTTATAAATATTTATAACAGCCCACTCGACACTCACTAAATTATTAAGTTAATGTGTCGCGCTATTCCAAAAAGGTACGAGCTCCCCTTAGCTTGGGGAGCAATAAAATTGCTGGTGGAACGAGGATGAAATGTGGCCAACACTTTGACAATTTCACGCGGCTTAGACAGCGGCCAGGGCCATTAGGAACATGAGACGTGTTCAGCCGTGGTTGATGTGTCTTTCTGTCTGTCTCTGGATTTGTTGCAACTATTAATAAGCATGTTAATGTTGCGCGAAATGATCAGCGAAATGGGAAAAGTTTTACATGCCCCGGAACTTGGTCTAGGGGCCTAGGACTTATAAATGGGTTCCCGTTTCCAGCAGCAATTATAAGAAGACCAGCGGGGGCGACATATGAGCGATGGAAAGTTAAGCAACTTTGAGACCATAAATCAGAGATGGGTCTTAAGTGGGCAACTGAAATATGGCTGACAATCACGGTGGGGACTTATGAAGTTTCAGATATCAGGGGATCATAGATGTCTGCTTGCGGTGGCAAGCAACATGCTCTCCATGCCACGCTTTTATGTCCCGAATGTGTCACTGCTCGTATACGTTATATTGCAAATTTTCAGCATTTGTTTGGCCATTGTTTGGCTCTTCGGCTGCTCGGCTTCTCGGCATTTCGGCTCTTTGGCTTTTTTGCTTCTTATGGGGACGATATGAGCATGCATTTCGGACCCCAATTGCGGTCAACGGCAGGTGCAATGCTGCAAGCCACTCCACTCCAGTCCATGCCACGCCACTCCGTTCGAAACTCTCTTCCCGCTCTTCCGCAGCTTGACGTTTATTAAATTTTTCCACAACCACGGAGAGGACGAGGTCGAGCAGGAAACGGAAACTGACGGGGTGGAAATGGGTAGGTAGTGCACTTTATGCTCCACTGCGTGGCAGCTTAAACTCCTTTACGGTGAGAGTCTTTAAGGAGCGTCTCTCCCACCTCTTCTATTGACTCTGGTTGCTTGAGTAAACATTTTCCATGTATTTTACTTAATTTTACTGTTTTCCACTCTGCTCGCTTTGCGCTCTCACACTCCATCTCCATCCTCCATCTACTTCTCGCTGTCTTTATTTGATTCACTTCTTTTTCTTTTTGGGAGGGGGATATCATCATTAGGACTACACATGCGACGACGTTCAAAGGGAAACGGCTCCATTACATTACAGTTTGCATGGCCCCAATTTTTGGGGCAATTATTTGCTTTGTAGCCTGCCAAAAAGGCTGCCACAAGCAGTCGGAACAGACACGGCTGCTGTTCTGGCACGCTGCTTCTCAGCAGCAGCTCATCCGCCTGTCGCTGCCTGCACCCGCACGCCGCCCATCGCCCATAGCTTGCCGCTTTTACACAATTTCCTTCCGCTTTGCTTTCTCTGTGAAAGTATTACGATGATTTGCATAATTTTAGCGCACCTACAGCAGCCGCAAAATGAGGCCTAAACCACGAGGGGCCCCAAAGGAGTGAGGCTGAAGGAAGGATTCTTGCCACTTGCCAAGTGAATCCTCCAGCGCATCCTTGTGAGCCCTCTCGCTGGTTCCTTTTTTTTCTTGCAGGGTTTTTCGGCTCTTCTTTATCTGCTTTGCCTTTACGGGCCTTTGTTGAGGTGGTTCTAGGACCTTCTGAGGGGGAGGAGGTGCTGGTGGTGGTGTAGCCTACATTTTTGTAACTGATGTGCTGCGTTGGCTCTCTGCTTTGAATCCGCTTCTTATCTTTGTGCCTGATCGAAATTGCTTTTGTGTGGTTGCTGGTTGCCCTTACTGGTATCTTCCCTCCCTCAGCCCCTGTTGCTGTAACTGTTCTTGCTGTTGTTTTTGCTGCTATTTTAATTTCAGTCATGTGTGCAGGCAGTCGCCTTTGCCGTGCCACATACCCCCCGCGTGACCCACGAAAATTCTTTCTAGGCACTTTTGCAATTTTCTGCCTGTTTTGGGTTAGATATTCATATCAGCCCTATACATATTATGGCCATTTTCCGCTATAACTGTTACTGATTGCCGCTTTGTGGCATGCCACAGCCACAACGCTTTTATCATCCTCCACTTACCCCACCTCGCCGCTCGATTTTTGAGCACCAATTGAGATGCAAATTGGTTTTTGCCTAGAATGATTTGAAAATAATTCAGTTGGTTTGCATTTTTGCTTTCACATTTTTTCCTGGGTAGCAATTTGAGCATATCAACTAATCTGATTTACTAGCGATAATATCTGGCTTTAAATTTATACATTTTCATATTAAAATGAGATTTTGAGGTCAATCAATACTGAGCTGCTTCTTCGATGCTTGAAATCCTCAAAAAATAGGAAAACAAAAACCAGAGGCAGCGAATTTGTTGCAAAGGAATTTCGGGCTCATGGCCAAGTGGAAATTGTTGCCACATTTATTATCGTTTCGGACATATACACCGCACTACACACACACACACACATACAAATATCTATATATAAAGCGTTTTAGCGCTTGTCGCTGCCACATGGCGTTTCCATTTCCATTTCCTTGTTAATTTTCATTTGCAAATATTTATTTGTACATTTCCTCTCTGCACTGTTTACCCACTTCCGCTGCACACACAAAAAACACAGATACAGATACACAGAGTAGACGGGGACTAGCGGGGTGGGCCGGTAAAAGGTCTTTCGTTTTCACTTTCCACAAAACTTTCAGTTGCAACCAACCAACACACTCACGAATGGCTGACCCAGACTCGAATGCAGCTCCAGATGTGAGTGCAAATGCGACGTTTTAGTTTTCATTTCGGTTTCGGTCTCGCTTCTGGTTGCTGCAATTTGCTAAAAACCCAGCCCTGCCCTCAGGCAATATAAAGAAAGCCAAACCCCAAACCCCAAATCCCAAACGAACCAAACCCCTTCCCTTGCAAGCCGCCACCATAAGAGAGTCAAGTGGAGCTTGCCTCTTCAAGGGACTTCTGGTGATGCATCTGGCTTTTCCTCTAGAAATAATCAGTGGCAATGATTGGCGGGAAAATATATAAAATTGAAAATGGTTTGGGGATTGAGGTCTCTGTATCGATGGAACCGCATTGATCGATCTGCTTCCCGTGGGCCAATTGGACGCGTCTCAACTGCCAATTGATTAATTGTCTTAAAAGTCTTGAGCCCGGCATATGTCGAATTAAAGCGTCTGAGCCGGGACGGGCACAGATTTCCTGTTTCAAAAAGGTTGCGGAGCCAGTGATTGCCCCATGTACGTGCCACGGCTCACGTGGGAAATCAGTGCCATGGTCTGTCCTGTGCCTGCCTGGGGCTCCGGCCTCGGCCTCGGACCCAGCTCTGACTCAACCTGGCTCGGGATACCATTGCCGCTGCTGACATGCACATCATAAATTCTTAATGGCCACACACGCATCCTTGGATGGCATTCGGTTGCAAGTGCAACGGCAGCTGCAGCTGCAGCTGCAGCTGCAGAGGCTGCAGTCCAATGAGAACATTTCGAATTGCTTGCAATCACAGCGGATGTCAGAAATCACATCGAGACAACTCCATGTGCATTGCGTGTCTGTTAAATTAATAAATAATTGTACGTTCAATCTCCATCGGGCTGTTTTTTATATCCATTTTCGCTGGAAACAATATCGTCATCCCATTCGTTGGTTGGCTTCCTATGCAGGATTTACGTGCACACCTGTCCGCAGTTGATCCAGATTAATTGCCTATTTGGACGTTATCCTACACCGCTCCGGTGCCTTCTTGCCCGATGCTTCCTTTTGTTAAATGATAAGCATTGGGCGCAAATCCCTGACACTGACAAGCTAATTAATAAATTATTTTGCAAACAAATTA